GGGCTGTCTATTTGCTTTACTTACTGTGTTCTTGGCAGTGCAAAAGCTTTTTAGTTTGATCAAATCCCAGTAATGTATTTTTGATGTTGCTTCAATTGCCCCGGGAGTCTTCCTCATAAAGTATTCCCCAGATCAATGTTTTCAAGTGTTCCCCCTGCACTCTCCAAGAAATTTTATAGTTTCATGTCTTAAGTTTAAGTCCTTTAGCCAGTAAGAGTCAATTTTTGTTAGAGGAGAAAGGTGTGGGTCCAGTTTCAGTCTTCTACAAGACGCCAGCCAATTCACTCAGCACCATTTGTTAAATAGGGAATCTTTCCCCCAATTTATATTTTTGATAAGCTTATCAAAGATCAAATGATGATTAAGTGTCTGGGTTCATCTCTTGGTTTTTAATTATGTTCCATACATCTAGGTATGTTCCATACCTCTCTATTTTTGTGCCAGTACCATACTGTTTTGATCACTACAGATTTATAGTATAATCTGAAGTCTGGTAGCGTGATACTTCCTGATTTGTTTTATCTTTCTTTCTTTTGCAGTTTTTGGCCGGGGCTGGGTTTGAACCTGCCACCTCCGGCATATGGGGCCAGTGCCCTACTCCTTTGAGCCACAGGCGCTGCCCTTGTTTTTATTTTTGAGTAATGTTTTGGCTATTAAGGTTTTTTCTGCTTCCATATAAAACAAAATACTAATTTTTCCATATCCTTAAAGTATGACAGAGGTACTTTAATGGGGATTTCATTAAATCTGTAGATTGCTTTGGGAAGTATAGACATTTTAACAATGTTGATTCTTCCCAGCCATGAGCATGGTGTGTTTTTTTCATTTGTTAACATCTTCAGCTATTTTTTTTTTCAGCGTTTCATAGTTCTCTTTATAGAGATCTTTCACATCCTTTGTTAGACACACTCCCAGATATTTCATCTTCTTTGGCACTATTGTAAAGGGAATAGAGTCCTTGATTGTTTTTTCACCTTGACTATTATTCATATATATATAAAGGCTACAGATTTGTGAGTACTGATTTTGTATCCTGAGATGCTGCTGTATTGATCACTTCTAGGAGTTTTGTACTTGAGTCCCTGGGGTTTTCTAGATATACCATCATATCATCTGCAAAGAGTGAAAGTTTGATCCCCTCTGATCCTATCTGGATATCTTTGATTGCCTTCCCATGCCTGATTGCGATGGCTAAGACTTCCATTACAATGTTAAAAAGCAGTGGAGACAATGGGCAACCTTGCCTGGTTCCTGATCTGAGTGGAAATGATTTCAATTTTACTCCATTCAACACAATATTGGTGTGGGTTGGCTGTAAATGGCCTCTATTAATTTAAGAAATGTTCCTTCTATGCCTATTTTCTTAAGCGCTCTGATCAAGAAAGGATGCTGGATATTATCAAAAGCCTTTTCTGCATCAATTGAGAGAATTATATGGTCTTTATTTTTTCCTTTGTTTATGTGATATATTTATAGATTTGCATATATTGAACTATCCTTGGGACCCTAGGATGAAACCCACTTAGTCATGATGTATAATTTGTTTGATGTATTGCTGGATTCTGTTTGCTTGGATCTTATTGAATACTTTCGCATCAATATTCATTAGAGATATTTGTCTATGATTTTCTTTTCTTGTTGGGTCTTTTCCTGGTTTGGGGATCAGGGTGATATTTGCTTCACAGAATGTGTTGGGAAGTATTCCTTCTTTTTCTATGTTTTAGAAAAGGTTACATAATATAGGTACTAGTTCCTCTTTAAAGGTTTGGTAGAATTCTGATGTGAAGCCATCTGGTCCTGGGCTTTTCTTTTTGGGGAGATTTCTTATAATTGATGCTATTTCAGAACTTGATATAGGCTTGTTCAACATTTCCACTTCTTTCTGGCTAAGTCTAGGAAGGTAAGATTATGATTTTAATATAAACTCTTTTAGGTTCTTAGTTGCTATAATATTCCAAGGCTCACCCAAGCTCTACTAGGATAGTCATGAGAAGATGGTTTCAGCTCACATACTTTCACATCATGAGCTGTTTAGTTTGGCTAAATACATATTATGTTACTGTCATACTGTGTTAAATCCCAAAGTGAAAAAATACATTTAACTCAGAATGCAATAAATAACTACAGTATGATCTAAGAGTAAGATCACCTGATCTTAGAATGAGCTGTGACTAGTGAATTAGGAGTAGTCTGTACTAAGAGATTAACTTCTTGTTAGGAACAAGAAGCCACTGAAGTGTTCACACCATTTTTACCACAGTAAATCAATTAAAGACTTCATTATAAGTTGTCATTAAAAGATCAAAACTGAAGTCAAAGGTACTTCAACTTTAACAAAATAGGTATAACTACCATCAACTACAAAATTAAACAAATATGGTCAGACAGAAAGCATTCTACAGGCAAAATTATATCAGATAACACTACTGGACATTATGTGACATGTATTTTGTTTTATAGCTGCACAAAATCACTAGTACATGGAGCATGAATCAACTCTCAGCATATACATGTGTGTAATATATAAATCAAGTAATACAGACAACTTTTCATTTTGATTATCAATGGAAACATACTATGGAAAGAGGATTCTCTTTTAAGCAAAATTATTTTTGAACCTTGCCTTGAAAATGTATACTAGAATCAGTATGGCCACAGCACTAGCTGTGTATGCAGACAGGAAAAGTCTACCACCTATTGGTGCCTGCCACAATGCCTGGACAATTTTTCTACTTTTAGTAAAGACAAGGTCTCACCTTTGTCCAGGTTGGTCTGGAACTCCTGACCTCAAGCAATCCTCCCATCTTGGCCTCTAAGAGTGCTAGAAATACAGGCATGAACCACCATGCCTGGCCAATACATTCTTAATTCTTGGGTCAGTGTTAAATACTGCATGGAAAATTGTGAATATAATTCCAAGTGCAGCCTTTTGAGCCTTCAGTATGTTGTGTCAAGAAAAAAAAAAGCAACAAATAAAGATTAACCTCTCTCTTGTAAAGAGGAAAACTACTCAAGTGAAGGATGTAAATTTTTTTCATGACACTGATAACATGATTTTCCCCAACAATTAGGCATTTCTTTCCTTGTTATAAAAAGAAACAGATGTCTTATTAATAGATATACTTAAAACCATAATTACTTCATTGAAGCTGAAAACCTATCTCCTAGAAATTAACTCAGCCAAAAGAATAGATCTATACATTGCCATCTCCGAAACTAAAATATTCAATTTTCCTTTTGAGTACCGTATGCTTGTCAATTTGTATGTAGTTTTTCACTAATAATTCTTGTGGTAATTCTGGCTTCTATCCATTTGAATATCTGAAGCATCTAAGAGAATCACGACATACCTGCTACTCTTACTAACAATCCATAATTGAGAGATGGAATTATCTATTTCAAGAGTAGAAAAAGAAACCAGTTAAATTAGAAACCTTCACTGTGAATTTAATGAGCCACATATCAGTGTGGTGTAGGACTGGAGCAATGGCTGCTTTTCCTGAGGTTATTTAAAAGTACTGCTTTGATCTCATTATAAAAACATTTTGGATTATTCCATGTTTATCTAAAATCAGTGGTGTGCATGAAGACAAGACCTACCCTGTGGTCCACAACTACACTATTTTCCTTTCATAGGAAGCAATCATTTCTTTCTATGCATTATGATACAGAAAAACAGACAATCATCACTTTGTCTTTATTGATTGTTTTATATTAGAAAAACACTTACATTATCTGAATTTATGTTGCCTCATTTTAAAAAACATGGGTCTGATTTCAGTATGCATAGTATCTATAAAAAACAATATGTCTAATAATTCCAATTTATTTCCTATTTTCCCTAGAATCCTGCTCTACCTAAAGTCATTCTTTCCTCTTAATTTCCCAGAATCCAAACTGCTCTCCTCTTCATTATAGCCATGGGTAATATTAAAAATATTTAACAACTGGCATGGCATAAATGCCAAAGAGAATACCAGTTCAGGGCAATGCCTGTGGCTTAGTGGGTAGGGCACTTGCCCCATATACCGAGGGTGGCAGGTTCGAACCCAGCCCTGGCCAAACTGCAACAACAATAAAAAAATAGCTGGGTGTTGTGGTAGGCGCCTGTAGTCCCAGCTACCTGGGAGGCTGAGGCAAGAGAATTGCCTCAGCCCAGGAGTTGGAGGTTGCTATGAGCTGAGACACCACAGAACTCTACTGAAGGCAATAAAGTGAGTCTGTCTCTAATTAAAAAAAAAAAAAAAAGAATACTAGTTCAAAAATGTATAGATGTCTATGAACCAGATATGAATGTGGTGAAAGACATAATAGAACAAGCTCACTAAGCAGTCTGCTATATACTTTTCCCCACTCTCAAAAGCTTTCGGTTATTCCTTACCTGCTAATTCCCAGAGAAGAAATAGGAGTTTTCACAAAAGACAATCCCATAAATTGGATTCCAAGGACAAATTTAACTCTATATCTTATTAAATCTTTAATTTTCCTTCTATTCTTCAGCAGAATTAAGGAGAAGTGTTAGAATACACTAATACTTTCTTTCTCCTACATCAACTGTCTCCAGAGAATTAGGCTCCTCAAGTCAGGTTTTCATTATAGTTTTGTTATTTGATTATATCTACGCAGTTAGGTGTACAAGTTCTTCCTCCCCTCAAACAAATGGAAAATTAATACACAAATGGATAATTTTGGGGATGTATTAAGGGCATTATTAAGAGTGGTGCCTGTGGCTCAAAGGAGTAAGGCACCAGCCCCATATGCTGGAGGTGGCAGGTTCAAACTTAGCCCCAGTCAAAAATTGCAAAAAAAAAAAAAAGAGTAAAAGGGTATTATAAGCTGTTAACAAAACAAGTATGTCTCTGACATTTAGAAAAGAAACAACGGGAATACTAAAATTCCCAAAAAAGCAAAGAGATGAGTCATTTAAAATAAACCTGAGATTATAGATTTATGTGTAATAAGATCAAATATATCTATGCTGTTTTTAAATATATTCTTACCCAACTTTGGAAAAACTATTAAGTATTCAGCATTGCACTGAGGACATGCCACTCTGGCTGTACTGTTTCCTCTTTGTTTTTCATCCACCCAGCGTTGTAGACAAGCTTGGTGAACCCATTTTGTAGATCCTCTGCATCTGCATGGTCTCACCCATTCGGCTGTTCTATCATCTTCATCAGTGGCAAAACACACCCAGCAACTTCTGTAAATTAAAAAAGAAAATGGTAAGATTTATCTTTAGGATCCCAGCCTCCTCCACATTGCAGCTCTCACTGCATGGTACAAGCCTACTATGTTACATTATGGAACTTTTGTCCTACATTAAAAAATTAAGGAAACAAAACAACCAATATGCTCTCAATAGAGGAGTTTCTTTTACTGTTTTTCCTTATCTTTCACTATAGAATCCTGTATTTTCTGAATTTTGTTTTTACGAAATTTCCTCCATCTTTCTACTATTTCTTCACCTTGTATAATGAAACTATAGTGCAAAAAAAGATAACTCTCATACTGCTTTTCGTTTTAAGACCTAATAATTCTTGGAGGAGTAATAAGCACTGGAATATGTGAAATTCAGTGTTCTCTGCATTCCAACATCAATCTCTTGAACTTGGAAAAACAGTATATCACACAAGTGATTTCACATATAAACTCATTCAATTTTCAACTAAGAAAAAGCCCTACCCATTTCTCTTACTGATAAAGTATAATTGTAAGATGACAGAATATTAAATTTAAAATAAATCCAAAAGGAGATGAAGATACTAGGATAACTTGTTATAGAATAATGATATGACAAATTTGGTCTTCATGTTTCTGTTGTGAGTATGACTGGATTTCCTTTTTGGAATTAAATTATATCTATTAGCTGGGCCCAGTGGCTCATGCCTATAATCCTAGCACTCCAGGAGGCCACAATGGGAGGGTCTTTTAAGCTCAGGAGGTAGAGATCAGAAAGCAAGAGCGAGACTAAAAATAGAAAAATGGATGGTGCCTATAGTCCCAGCTACTCAGGAGGCTGAAGCAGAGGACTGATTTGGTCCAGGAGTCAGAAGTTGCTATGAGCTAGGCTAATACCACAGCACTCTAGCCTGGGCAATACAGTAAGACTGTTTCTGTCTGTCTTTCTTTTTTTTTTTTTTTTTTTTTGAGACAGAGTCTCAAGCTGTCCCCCTGGGTAGAGTGCTGTAGCATCACAGCTCACAGCAACCCCCAACTCCTGGGCTCAAGCAAGTCTCCTGCCTCTGCCTCCCAAGTAGCTGCCGAGCCCAGTGAGAGTGTTTCAAGAATTATTATATTTAAAATCTTGGCTCAGTGCCTGTGGCTCAAGTGGCTAAGGTGCCAGCCACATACACCTAAGGTGGCGGGTTTGAATCCAGCCCAGGTCTGCCAAAACAATGATGGCTACAACCAAAAAATAGCCAGGCGTTGTGGTGGGCGCCTGTGGTCCCAGCTACTTGGGAAGCTGAGGCAAGAGACTCGTTTGAGCCCAGGAGTTGGAGGTTGCTGTGAGCTGTGATGCCACCACACTCTACCCAGGGGGATAGCTTGAGGCTCTGTCTCAAAATAAATAAATAAATAAACAAACAAATAAATAAATAAATCTAGAAGTTTCAAGTCTGGGATGTTTGTATTAACAAAAATAAAATTCTACTGATATGGTTAATTTTAAAACGTTTTCCTATTTTGCTTTTTGGGGGGGTCTGAATAATAGTGTGGTGGCACTCACTTTGCTTTTAAGGGTACTTATGAAGTCTAATTTTTTCTTATGGAATATCAGGTTAACATTCCTTATTTTTCTCCCAATTAACACAAGTTTGGGTACCGATTTGTATTAGGGCAAATACAGTTTGATTCAATGAGACTATTCTTCCTCCTCTCCCCCCATTAAAGTTTATACACATGAAAAATGCTAATTAAAGCTTGTTACCTTCTGTGCACTTTTCACTTAATTGCATAAAGGTCTCTGTCAGAACTACTAGCCTAATGATGCTCACTGGGAAAGACTACACAGTCACAGCACCATAGGTGGGTATGATCTGCAGTCTTTGTGAACTACATGAATTTCAATTGTGTTCCAATTAAAACTTTCCCTTTTTTTTTGATTTGCATTTCTCTAATTACCAATTAAAACTTTTCAATTAAAAAGAAAAATGGAGCAGAATCCATGGCAGCATGTCAAAAATTGTGATTTTATTCAGCTTTAAATTCACTCAGGTTTCATAAGATCAAGGTAGAATAAGGAGCATTTGTTTAGCATTCTGACCCTCTGACTCACTTCAGCTAAGCTGTCTGGGCCCACGTTCTGTCTTATGGTTATCCAAAATAGCCCTGTTCGTTGTTTTCAAGTTTTTTTTTTTTTGAGACAGTCTCATTATGTTACCCTTGGAAGAGTGCAGTGACATCATAGTTCATAGCAACCTCAAACTCTTGGGCTTAAGTGAGTCTCTTGCTTCAGCCTCACAAGTAGCTGGGACTATAGGTGTCTATCACAATGCCCGGCTATTTTTTTTGCTGCAGTTTTCATTGTTGTTTAGCAGACCCAGGCTGGGTTTGAACCAACCTCCCTCGGTGTATGTGGCTGGCGCCCTAACCTCTGAGCTATGGGCACCAAGCCTGTTTTGAAGTTTATCGTGATAAAATATGTTACATAAAATTTACCACTTTAACCATTTTTTTTTTTTTTTTTTGGAGACAGAGCCTCAAGCTGTCGCCCTGGGTAGAGTGCCGTGGCATCACAGCTCATAGCAACCTCTAACTCCTGGGCTCAAGTGAGTCTCCTGCCTCTGCCTCCCAAGTAGCTGGGACTACAGGCGGCAGCCACAATGCCTGGCTATTTTTTGGTTGCAGCCGTCATTGTTGTTTGGCGGGCCCGGGCTGGATTTGAACCCACCAGCTCAGATGTATGTGGCTGGCGCCTTAGCTGCTTGAGCCACAGGCGCCGAGCCACTTTAACCATTTCTATGTGTATAATTCGTTAAGTATATTCACACTGTGCAACCCCCAAGAGTACTTAAGGTATGACTGGGTTTTAATGCACAATTTTTGCATAAAATTTCAACTGGTATACACTACAGCAAATAGACAAGTTAGTTGAGATGTTATTAGTGTATATTTGTTGCCACAACGGAAGTAATTTTGTAAATATATTTGTATAACCTTTGGGAAATGGACATAATTTTTGGCAACAAAATGTAAAGCAGAATAACTAGAAACTTTCTACTCACATACTTTTTTATCTCAACAGAACATAGTATATATAGCTAGCTATGGCAGCATGATCAATCAGCATTAAGGCGAATCAAATTTCATTTTTTTATTTTTTTGAGACTGAGTCTTAACTCTGTTGCCCTGGGTAGAGTGCTGTGGCGTCACTGTAGCCCACAGCAACCTGAAACTCAAGTGATTCTCTTGTCTCAGCCTCCTGAGTGGCTGGGACTACAGACATGTCAATCCACACACCTCGGCCTTCCAGAGTGCAAGGATTATAGGCGTTGAACCATTGCACCTGGCCTAACATATTCTATACTGTTACTACATTAAAAATATTTAGCCATCAGAAGCAATTATAAATTTTTAACTTAAGCAAATCCAGTAATTATCTCCATCTTACATCTGCCTCGGCATCCCAGAGTGCTAGGTATACAGGTGTGAGCCACTGTGCTCAGTCTTCTTACAAGCAAACAGCCTATAATATAGTGTCATTAGTCACTAGGGCTGAATAAAAAGAAGACAGAGAACACAATGTGTATGTGAATTCTTTCTTTCCTAATTTTTTTGTAAATCTCTGATAGACTAACCAGGAACATCACCTGAGAAGTTTTTTTTTTTTTTAAAGAGAAAGGGTCTGGCTATGTCATCCAGGCTGGAGTGCAGTGGTGTGATGATAGCTTACTATAACCATGAACTTCTGGGCTTAAATAAGCCTGGCTCAGCCTCTCAAATACAGATACATCCCACCATATCTAGCTAATTTTTTAATTTTTTGTAGTGGAGAGAGACCAGCCCAGGCTGGTCTCAAACTCTTGGCCTTAAGCAATCCTCCTGCATCCGCCATCCAGAGTGCTATGATTATAAGCCACCACTCCCTGCTCTAGGAAGAAGGCCTTAAAATTACTTTTTACTTCCTCACTCCTTTCCCAGCCCCACTTGATGTAATCTATTTGAGCTACTTTTTCCTGCAATTATATTCCCTTTCCTTTTTTTTTTGAGATAGAGTCTCACTTTACCACCATCAGTGGAATGCTGTGGTGTCAGCAGCTCACAGCAACCTCAAACTCTTAGGCTCAAGCTTTGTTCTTTTTTTTTTTTTTTCTTTTTTTTGAGACAGAGCCTCAAAGTGTCGCCCTCAGTAGAGCGCTATGGCATCACAGCTCACAGCAACCTCCAATTCCTAGGCTCAAGCGATTCTCCTGCCTTGGCCTCCCAAGTAGCTGGGACTACAGGTACCTGCCACAACGCCCGGCTATTTTTTGGTTGCAGCCATCATTGTTTCTGGTGGGCCAGGGCTGGATTTGAACCCGCCAGCTCAGGTGTATGTGGCTGGCACCTTAGCAGCTTGAGCCACAGGGGCCGAGCCTCTTGGGCTCAAGGTATCCACTTGCCTTAGGCTTCTAAGTAGCTGGGACAAAAGGCACCTGCCACACCCGGCTTTTTTTTTTTTAAGAGATGGGGGTCTCACTCTGGCTCAGGCTGGTCTCCAACTGTGAGCTCAAGCAATCCACCTGCCTCAGCCTCCCAGAGTGAGGAGGATTATAGGCGTGAGTCACCCTGCCCAGTCTCCTTTTTTCTTTTTTAATTAAAGGGAAAGGGTCTTGATTTGTAATAAAGGCTGTAGTGCAGTGGTGCAGTCTTAAACTCTTGGGCTCAAATTATCTTCCTACCCTTGCCTCCCTCAGCTGTTACAGGCCTCAGCCTCTGTGCCTGACTCTTTCCATTTAAGATGGGGAAGAGATATTTGAAAATGATGGGCTTATAATTTTTCAAGATTTTAGAATGGAGGAAACAGCAGAAATTTGGGGTTTAATGTATAACACAATTCCTCTTTTCTAGGAATAATCAGTATCCCACACTTCCTATGGAAAAATCACTCTTCCTCCAACATTACCTACATATGAGGTTTAGACAGTTAGTACTGGCCCCGGCCCCAGTCCCAGCTCTCCTGGAAGAGTAACCCTTAGATTGGCAGCCAGATTACAGTGATTGCAAGGCTAGGCCCATAAAGTTGGTCTTATCAGAGTGAACCTCAGAATGTTTGCTGGGAAAGCTGGTATGTAGACTTTTTTCCTTTTGTAGGGCTTAGAGACAGGACAATGTGAAGCTACTTTTGCCAAAGAGCCACCAAGTAAAGACTTACGAATCCAGAGGAAGTAAGGGTGATGACAGAAACTGACTGAGACATAGATCAAGTTGTGCTGTGCCTAATGCTAAATACACTGTTGTATCCTTACTTATACAATAAATCAATAGATTTTTCTTCTTTGGGGGGCACTTAACCAATCTGGGATACACACAGAGTGATGGGTACTAAGAGATGGCTTCAACATAATCATATGGTATAAAGTCTAAATAGTTTTTATAAGTAAACTCCGTATTTTTTGCCAATAGTTTTATTTCCTACTGGCCAGAACTTAAGTAGAATACTTAAAGTGATTGTATTGAAAGTAGGTTGAGTCTAGCAAGCTTTTCCTATTTCTTTCTTTCTGTTTTTTTTTTTTTTGTTAAGCAGGCCTGAGCCAGGTTCTAACCTGCCACCCTTGGTAAACAGGGCCGGCACACTACCCACTAAGCTATGGGTGCCCAACCAGCCTTTCCTATTTTTTCATACTGAGCAAAACATGTTCTTTTTTTAACTTAATTATTATTAAATTATAACTGTATACATTTATGGGGCACAATATGATTTAATATACATTGCAGAATGCTTAAATCAAACTAATTAAAATAACCATCACCTCACTTATATTTGTGGTAAGACATTTATAATATACTCTTAGTTGTTTTGAAATATACCCTTACATGGCTTGGTGCCTGTAGCTTAGCAGCTAGGGCACCAGCCACATGCACCGGAATTGGTGGGTTTGAATCCAGCCTGGGCCTGTCAAACAATGACAACTACAACCAAAAAATAGCTGGCATTGTGGCAGGCGCCTGTAGTCCCAGCTACTTGGGAGCCTGAGGGAAGAGAATTGCTTAAGCGCAAGAGTTTGAGGTTGCTGTGAGCTATGATGCCATGGCACTCTACCCAGGGCAACAGCTTGAGATTCTGTCTCCCCCCCCCCCCAAAAAATAGTACCCTTGCATTGTGTACAATAGGTGAAATCACACCAAATATCCTCCCACCACTCACCCTACCCCTTTACTCCCCTCTTTCTTTCTGGACTTTATGTTTTATCATTCGTATGAATGTATAGGTGTTTATATATTGGTTTTATAATAGTATTGAGTACATTGGATACTTTTCCATTCTTGAGATACTTTACTAAGAAGAATTAGTTCTAGCTCCATCCAGGTAAATATAAAAGATGTAAAATTTCAGGCAGCACCTGTGGCTCAGTGGGTAGGGCACCAGGCCCATATACCAAGGGTGGTGGGTTCAAACTTGGCCCTGGCCAAACTGCAACAACAAAAAAAATAGCCAGGCATTGTGGCAGGCACCTGTAGTCCCAGCTACCCGGGAGGCTGAGGCAAGAGTTGGAGGTTGCTGTGAGCTGTGTGATGCCACAGCACTCTACCAAGGACGACAAAGGGAGACTCTGTCTTTATAAAAAAAAAAAAAAAGAAAGAAAAAGAAAAGATGTAAAGTTTCCCCATTTTTAATGGCTGCATAGTATTCCATGGTTTCCCACAATTTGTTTATCCATTCATGGGTTGATGGACATTTAGGCTGCTTCCATGACTTTGCTATTGTGAATTAGCATTTGCATTGCATTCTGGTACAAATGACTTTGTTGTAAAATGATTTCTGTTCATCTGGGTAGATACCTAATGCAGGACCAAACCGTAGGTCAACTTTCAGTTCCTTGAGAATTCTCCATACTTCTTTCCAAAAGGCTATTAGTTTGCAGTCCCACCAGCAGGGTTAGAAGTGTTCCTTTCTCTCCACATCCATGCCAACATTTGCAGTTTTGGGATTTTGTGATGTGGGCTAATCTTACTGGAGTTAGGTGGTATCTCAAAGTGGTTTTGATTTTCATTTCTCTATTGATTAAAGATGATGAGCATTTTTTCATGTGTTTGTAGGCCATGTGCCTGTCATCTTCAGAGAAATTTCTGTTCAAGTCTCTTGCCCACAAAGAAATAGGGTTATTTGTTCTTTTCTTATTGATTAGTTTGAGTTATCTGTGGATTCCAGTTATTAGACCTTTGCTGGAAACATAACCTGCAAAAATCTTCTCTCATTCTGAAGGCTGCCTGTTTACTTTACTTACAGTGCCCTTAGCTATGCAGAAGCTTTTTAGCTTGATAAGATCCCAGTAATATAATTTTGGTGTTGTTTCATTGCCAGGAGGGTCCTCCTCATAAAATATTTTCCCAGGCCAATATCTTCAAGCGTTTTCCCTGCACTCTCTTGTAGTGTTTTTATAGTTTCATGTCTTAAGTTGAAATCTTTTATCTAGTGAGAATATGAGTCTAATATCAACAAATTTAATAGAATAGAAATTATTCCTTGTTTCTTCTCAGACCATCACAGAATAAAAGTTGAACTCAACAGCAACAGAAATCTCCATACTTGAAGAAAGTCATAGAAACTAAATAACCTTAGGCTAAATGGTAGCTGGGTCAAAGACAGATTAAGAAGGAAATCATCAAATTTTTGGAACAAAATGAAGACACCAATTATCAAAACCTGTGGGATGCTGCAAAGGCAGTCTTACAGAGGGAAATTTATAGCAGTAGAAGTCTTCATCAAGAAAACAGAAAGAAAGCACGGGGGAGTGTGGGGCACCTGCCCAGTGTGTAGGGGCACAGTACCCAGGCCACCTGGAGCACAGGGCAGGGAGTCCAGCAGGCAAACAGGCGCCCTTGGAGCCTTGCTAGATCATTCCAGCAGACGAGCTAGTAAGAAGGAAAATGAACAAGTCAACCAATCCAGCCCTCGTTTTCTCTAGACTAGAAGATTAGGACTCTGCACCTTCCCAACTCCTGATGTCGCTGAGACCCCAGCCTGAGGGCATCCAGGAGGAAATTCCTGAAGCTGACTCAGAACCAGTGAATTTGTCTGCCATTTGAGCATCCTCTGATTTTTCCTCCACCTCAGCTTCACCCCAGTCCCTATGGAGACCACCAATAGGACTGAGATCTGGTACCAGAATCTGCATGCTATGCTGAAGGCTCTGAATGCCACTCTTCAGGGCAATTTGCTCTGTCAGTCAAAGACACTACCAGGGTCAGGGCCAGACAACCAGACTGAGGAATGGTGGGCCAGTCTACCTGGCCACGATGACAACTCCTACATGTACTTTCTCTTTGTCATGTTCTTGTTTGCTGTCACTGTGGGCAGCCTCATCCTGGGATACACTTGCGCCTGGAAGCAGAGTGACCCCTACCATGTGTTTATCTATGAAGAAGAACTGTGTATCTATGATCTAACATGAGGAGGCCAGGGATGTGGAAGATCAAGACACCTAGAGATCACTCCTGTTGCCTCCAGAACTCAGCTATGGGACCACATGAGGCCTTAGTGCCTTCTTCTGCAAGACCAACAAGGAACAGTGTGAAGAGAGGCCATCATTGGGGTGGAAGGGCTGGCAGACCTGGGCCTTCTGAATAAGCATTTTTTTCAAGGCAAAGACAGATTTTATAAATAGTAGGGGCCATGGCTTAGCACCTGTAGCTCAGTGGGTAGGGTGCACATATACCGGAGCTGGCGGGTTCGAAACCAGCCAGGGCC